TCATAATAATAATAATAATAATAATAATAATACAAAATATTATTTAAAATGATATTTAATAGTATCGATAACACAACGGATAAATTCTAAAAAATTTACTGCAATAAATAAATTTATAAATATCTAAATCATTTAAATAAATATAAAACTTGGACTTTTAAATCATAGAAAATTGTATAAGATTGAGAAAAATACAAATACTCTTTTGAAAATAATAATTAAATATTTTAAAATACTAAAAATTTATTTTAACTAGTATCGAAAGTTCACGGTCATTACATGTTTACATGTATTGTGTTTTACTTTTCATTATTTTATACTTACTATTCTCTTTTCATTATAGTGTATTCACATAGATTATTATATTTATGATGTTTATTTTTATTAATTTATAGTCATTCATCATTTTAAGTATCAACTGTGTTTAATCATGTTCTATTTCATGTATTACCAGTGTTTATATTAGCATGTTCATCAATCATTCATGGTATGTTTATCTAAAATATATCAGTGTTTTTATTATACGAAATTATGCTCTTCTTATGTTTTCATTTGCTTATATACCTATTTTACCTTTCATAGTTTATGTTTTTATATATTATACGTCTTTATATAGTAGTATGTTATGAGTGTCAGTATTGTTAGTAAGCATTTATGTTTCAGTGTATTTTATGATTTTTGTATGCGTTAATTTATTTTGAGTTTTATACTGTTAATTTGTTCGTTACTTATTTGAATGCATTGAGTCCTTCAATTATGTTTTTCTTTGTCAGATTTGTATTTTTTATTATTTTGACTTATGTTATTTTACATCGTGTTACTCTTCTGTTTTATTTCTCTTATTTTTTTTTTCTAGATCATATTATATCAATATCGTTTTATTCTTATATTTTTCTTTGAATGGGAGTTGTAATTTTTCGATGTGAGTGTGTGATGTTATGGCTTTATAGTTTGTATATAGGGTTAATTAAAGATTGTTACAATGTGTGTGTTTGTTTAGCTTTGATTTTTGTGTTTTTATATATTGTATTTTGGTTACGTATTTAGTCAAAATATTTTTGTACTTAGTGAGTTTTATATTTTATGCAGTGTATTCTTGCTCATGTTTTTTTATGTTTCAATTTGTGTATTGCTATACTTATTGTGATTTAGTATTTATTATGTTTTTGCTACAATTTTTGTTAGTAGTCACGTTATGGTGTAGTTATTTTTATTTTGTGTTGTAGTTGTTTTATTAATCCTACGTAGTGTACATATTATACTTATACATGTTTGTTGTGTGTGTTACCATATAATTTTGGTCACATTTTACCTTTCATGTATGCGTTTTGTTATCATTGTTGTTTGGTTATTTATCAAGTTATATGTTTTCCTTGTATGTGTTTTTATGTTATCTTTAATTTTATTAATTTATTAGTTTATTTGTGTTATTTGGGTTACATTGTTTATTAGTTAACATAGTTATTTTTTTTTACATTTCATCAGTAGTTTTATAGTTTATTTTAGGATGTGAAATGAGTGTTATAAGTTTATACAACTTAGTTATAGATTTTGCACATTGTAGATATTTTTTTGTGTTTATTAGTTTTCTATTTATTAATTATTTTATTTGTTGTATTTATCAATTTTCCATATACAAATTTCCCTGTATTACTATTTTAGTTAACTGTTTATGTCCATATTTGATTATTGTTTTAAATATTATTACATGACAGTTCACATGTTGTATTATATTTATTCTTTATGTATATTGGGTTTATAGTTTTTGTATTATATTTGGTTATTCTAATGGGTATAATGATATAATGGTTATTGGTATATTCTAATGGGTATAATGCTAATATTTTTGAGGGATAGAAGAGTGAGCTAATAAAGAAAGGCCGGTTTCAACGACATGACGGTTGCGACGTTCAACAATACCATTTTGTTCGTTGGTATGAGGGCACGAGACACGATGAACAATCCCCAAGTTAGAAAAATAAGGAGTTAATTTTTGAAATTCCCCGCCCCAATCAGTTTGAATAGATTTGAGTTTCATGTTGAATTAACGTTCAACCATCGCCAAAAACTTAAGAAAGACAGTAAACACCTCAGATTTTTAAGAAAGTGGGAAAATACACATGTACTTTGAATATGCATCAATAAATAGAACAAAATAACGATGACCATCAGAAGACATAGTAGGAGAAGGCCCCCAAACATCACTAAAAATAGGCTCAAGGACAGAGTTGCATTTGTTATGTGAAACTGGCAAAGATAACCTAGAGGATTTGCCAAGTTGGCAAGCCATACATAGAGAATTAAACTTCATAGAAGAACAAGAAAGACAATGTCTCTTTATTATAGTCCTAACTAGTTGGCTATACGGGTGATCGAGACGCTGATGCCAGATATCAGATGAGGCCCGTTCAGCTAGATGAGCAATATTAAGTGAATGAGTAGCGGCTTGGTTGCGGAGGGTGTAAATGTCATTTTCACTGGGTCCGATAAGTAGGGTTCGATGGGTGACCTGATCCTTCACAGCAAAAAAGAACAGATGAAACTCAATAAACACATTGTTATCTTTAGTGAATTATCAGACATATAATAAAGACTTGGAAATGGCCGAAACACGCAAAATATTAGAAAGATGAAATGATTTCGTAGGTGTGTGTAAGGTGCATGAACCAACATGAGAGATAGGGAGACCTTTACCATTACCAATATGAAGACTGTCGAAGCCAAGGTAAGACTGAGATTTGTCCAAGCGCTCGATATCCGGAGTGACATGGTGATTCGCGCTGGTATCTGGAAACCAAGTAGAGGAGGCTACAGACAGAGTGACCACATTGGTGAAGTGAGCAAAAGGAGAGATGGCGAGTACAACATGTTGGTAGCAAGTAATGGCAGTGTGATTAGAACCATTGCATATTTGACATCGAGTATTGAATTGTCCACGGCCTCGACAACGCCCATGTCCACGGCCACACCCCTGGTTGTTGTACCTGCTAGACTGATTTTTGTACCCATAGAACTGCTGGGGAGGTAAGCCATAGGTGTTGGGGCCAAGTATCGGACCATAAGCGACGGCCCCGAGAGCAACGTGGCTGTAGGACGACATGCCATAACCTGCGGAAGCAGCATGGCTCAAAATAGGGTGGTTTGACCTGCTGCAAGCAGCCCAAGCGCAGCCAGCGCTACCTTTGGGGGCGCCGATGTTAGCCGTGGGCGCCCAGGTTCTGGCCGTGTGCGCCCAGCTACTGGCCCACGGACTGTAGGCCGCCTGAGATGTTACCTGTAGGCAACAATCTGGCTGTTAGGGGCTAGATCTGTGCACCAGTGAGATGTGCCATAGGAGAGATTGCCTCGACAACAGGATGACCATGAATGTAGTCATGACTAAGGAGAAGAGCATGCAGATCTTCAAAGGAAACGACTTCGGGATGAGCATTAAGGGTCGTAGTGAGATCCCGGAACTCGGGACGGAGACCCTTAAAGATATATACATTCAAGTCCACAGCAGAGATCAGACGTCCAACAGTAGCAAGCGAACCAGAGATGTTTTTGGCATTGTAGAGGTAGGCAGTGACTGAGAGATCCGGTTGTTTGAGATCATGAAGTGCCTCATGTAGTTGAAGAATTCTTGTATTCGAAGGAGACGCATAGGCACTCACTAATGAAGTCCAGATCTTAGAGGATGTCGTAAGACCGACGATGAGTGGAAAAGCCTCCTCAGAGAGAGTAGAAAAGAGAATAGAGACAACAAGTTGATCTTGTTGCTGCCATGACAGAAACTCGGGGTTGATTGGTGGCGCATATTGGTTGACGGAAGTAAGATGAGTGGGTGGTGGCGGAGCGGATCCGTCAATGTATCCCATCAGGGATTGGCTACACAAGCAAGGAGAGATCTGCATTTTCTAGTACAGATAGTTGTGGGGGTTGAGTTTGATTGAGAGGTAGTGACGGGTGTTTTGAACGACGGGTGGTGGTGGTGTGTTGGTGAAAACACCAGTGGAGGAGGTAGATGATGATGGAGACATGGTGGCCAAGAGACCTGAACTCGAAGCAAAGAGGAAGGGGGCACACGGGTGCTTAGCGACAACAAACAATGCACAAGAGATCTGAAGATCAGCGGCCTGAAAACCCGGTTGAAGATGGCTTGAAAAACGGCTTGAAGGAGGCCGAAAAAAGAAGAAAGAGGGCTGACGGCTACTAGGGTTTCAAGACTCTGATACTATATTATTTTGGAGAAAAGTTAAATCTTTTTGTATTCACATAATCAATATACATATGTGTATATATAGATAGGTTACAAGATATGGAAAATCAATCAAATCTCTACAGATATTATCAAGTATCTAACTGAATCTCTACAAGTATTAGTATCAAATAATATCTTCAATAGAGCAATGGTTTTGGTGTGTCTCATAATCATTACACTTTAAGATCTTAAACTTTGCAAATCCCTTGTTATTTTTATATGTGTGGATGAAGTTGAGTTCACTTTTCAATTTTCATGCTAATTTTTGTGAGATAAAAAGGAATTCTGAGAAAGAGTTTAGCTGATGTTTACATTAATTCACTTACTTTTTTGAAAAAGTTACTCTCAAAACTAGCAAGAAATTATAACACAAAAGATAATATTAGTATAAATATCCATTTTCTTCAAGAAATCTTAGACGTTTTCTGAAATCAAACAGTAGGATTCTACAAATAAATTTATAAATATTGTTATTAGAAAAACTAAAATCACACGCTGAGGTGGGTCCCACTTCTTCCTCAAAAGTAGCAGCTGGTCCCATTTGTTTTACACCAGAACGCAAAATAAACGAAAAGGAGCAGAAAGCACACCACAACCAGTGACATTTACACACGCCCAAGCATTTGCTTTTTCCTCTTCCTCTACACACACACATATAAATAAATAAATATATATATATCATATATATATTATATATATATATATATTATTATATATATATTTATATAATATATATATAGTATATATGGCTCCCCACCCCGCCATTAAAGGAAAAAAAATCCAAAAGAAAAAAAATAGAGAAGTAGGAAGTATTGAACGTAATCCCATTTCCATTCTTCCTGGGTCTTCTTCCTTTCTTATAATCTCTCTATTTACCTGCGTTTTTGTAACTTTGAGTGATTTGATGTCTTCATTATCCATGAACTCTGTGGCCCAATGGCTCCAAACCCACTACACATCTCCTTTCGATTCAGTGCAGCAGAGCTTAAGGATTGCCTATGTTGTCTTCTCCTTCTGCTGTGCTCTCTTCATTGGCTTCTTCAAAGGTAACCATTTTTTTTTTGTTCCCTGTTATTTTTGGGTATTTTCTTGGTAAAACTAGTTTCTTGGTAAAAATTGTTTCTTTGTTTTGTTGCAGCTGTGACGGTGGGACCCGTTGCTGGGATTTTGCTGATTGTTGGCAACATTGGGGTGATGGTGGGCCTCTTCCCCTTCCATGTTTTCTGGACTGTTTACTCTCTTCTCAAGTTGAGTTTTTTTTGTCTTTTCCTTGAAATTTTTAGATGGTACTTTTTGTTTTGTTTTTAAGAACTCCTTTGATGGCTGATGACTGATGTCTAATGTCAATTGCTTGTATCGTGATACACCAATTTTGGGTGAGCTATACCTTTCTAGTCAAAATTTGACAAGTCTTAGAACGTTAGAACATAGTTAACTCTGGGGTGAATGTTATGTGATGTTCAGAAAGTTGGCAGTTTCGGAGTTAGCATCGATTATCATTCAGTAGCATTATAATAGTGGTTTTTTTAGTATACACTACCCAGATTATACCTTTTTTTTAAAATAACTCTCCAAAACATCATAATTGCTAAGTTACCTCATAAACTTTAAAGTCAAATCAAAGTTTTATATCTACAATAGTTGTTTAAACATTTTAAGTGCAGATGAATTATAAGACTATTTTATCCCTGTATGATAATAAGCAGAAGAAACAGGTTGGGGAAGTTGATGCGAGGAGCAGCGATGACAGTGTTGGACAAAGGGGAAGGAAATGCTTCAGCGGATTTTGAGTAGCCCACTAAAACTTTAAAAATGCCACATACTAAGTTTGGGAGCTTCCAGAAAACCCCCCCAAATGTTTTCAATAATTTCATCTAACCGCCCTAGCTGTGTTATATGAACATACACTTTTCAAATGAATACTCTAATTAGTAAATTAAATTAATTAATCAGGGGCATCTTGGTCAAAATTGAACTAAACTTGGACCAAGGTTAAGGGATTTGTGAAAATTGTCTTTATAGTTATTAGAAAGGGCATGAAAAGGGTTTTTCCAATGGGGGTATTTTGGTTATTTGAACGCATGATTTTCACATCTGCAGTTAGATCTAAGTTCTGTGTATGTGTGTGTGTGTGTGTTGTGTGGTGGGGGGGTGGGGGTGATCTGACAAAACTTGAGATCCGATTGACATTTTGAAGTTAATGTTGGAAAAGGTGTAGATCAAACTCACCTCAGGCGACGAAGAGCTCCGGCGAGCTCATGGATGTTGCAGGCGTGCGTGGGCGACGAACTTCAGGCGAAGTCGACGACGAATGCGAGCCCCGCGTGCGATCGCCTCCCCGAGCTCTGCGTTTTCGAACCCAGCTCTGCGTTCGACTCTCAACTCTGCGTTCGGCCTCGAATTTGGCGTCGAAGCAGTCGCTGGCGACATGCTGTCGCCAGCCCTCCACCTCCGCCTATAAAAGGGACCCCATGCCCTAGGGTTTCGCTGCTGAGCCTTCCCCCTCTCTCCGATTTGTTCTTTCCTGGCGGCGGCTGATTTTTCCCCTTTCCGTTCTTCGTTCCCTCTTTTCTCCAGCGCTCAGAATTTTGGGATTTTTGAGGGGAGATTAAAAAGAGGATTTAAGAGGAGAGAGAGATTAAAAAGAGGATTTAAGAGGAGAGAGAGATCATTAAAGAGGATTAAAGAGGGTATTTATTGTGGGGTTATTCATTTATTCTCAAGTGAGAATTGAAAGGGTTCATACCCTTTAATTATTAACACTGTAGCTACAGTGTTTATCAGAGAAATCTCAGTTTTGAGATACGCTCCTAAATTGTAATTTCTTGTTTAATTAATAAGAAATTATCTGTGTGGCTCCCGAGGACGTAGGCAGTTGCCGAACCTCGTTAAATCTTGGTGTACTTTTCTATACTGCGTTTCCGTTGCAATTAGGGGTTTAGGCGTTAAATTCCTAACAGTTAAGGGAGTTATCTAGAAAACGGCTGAACTTAAGGCAGTTCAGTAAGTAAACTAAAGATAGTTTAGTCTTTTCTTAAATAATTACAGCAAGGTGACAGAGTACAAAGGAATACTCAATTTTATTTTTAACGGTAAATTTGGGGTTATTTTTATTTGAGTATAATTTAAGGAGTAATTAGTGATGATGGTGTTTAGGATGGTGATTTAAAAAAAACTATGATTTGGAGAAGGAGTGTATGGGTAAAAAACCCTCATGACCTTTTACATATATACATATATTAAACACAGATGATTATCTGGACATTGCAATTGAACAGAAAAGGAGAGAAAGTCATTTAACTGAATTTCTTCTCGGAACATATTATTTATCTGAATCTATAGTAGAATGTAGACTTGCAAGCATACACGATACATGCTTCAATAACACAAAACCTCAGGCATATGTCCTCTTTTATGCTGAGCATACTAACATCAATTTGACAATTAACTTGTTTACAGCCTATCAACTTACATCGTCAATTAAGTAACAATGTCCCTCTGTCAATACGTTTATCCTCTTTATGGGGAAAACTTTATTATCATTTGACAATGAGATAAAAACTATAAGATTCTAATTCAAGATTCATTGATGGGCACAGGACTAAGCAGATAAATGTGGCTCTCAAATTAGCAGTTCTGTTTGCTCTTCCTGTACTATTTGTCCTATGGCTGGCCCTTGGTATCTTCGGCAGTATCATTGTTGGAATTGGCTATGGATTTTTCACACCGTGGATTTCTACTTTTGAAGCATTCAGACAAAACAGTGAAGCAAAGAAGTTCTTCCATAGCATTGTGGTAAATAAGGACAAAGATCTTAACATGTTTCTTCTTTTATTGGTTTCTCCATTTATTGAAAAGCAACTGATGAATTAATGGCACAATAGGATGGTACATGGGGGACAATCAAGGGTAGTTGCATAGTGGTTAGAGACTTTGGTGATATCTGCTACCATTCTTACCCAGTTTATTTGAAAGAATTACGAGAATTGTCAGGCGATCATGAATCTCATTCCATCAGGTGCCAAATTTCTGCTAATAATTTTTTATAGTTCGTTGAATCAGTTGTGCATCTGACATGTGTATAGTAATGAGTTACAAATTGTTGCTCTGCTGTTAGTTGTGTACAACACTGTTTATTTTCAGTGAATTTGTTACTTAGAAACGCCATTGCATACTATTCAATTAGTGATTACCTCTTGATATTTGTGTGCTGATTGATAAAGTAGGAAGGGCCTACAGGAATTCTGCAGAGGTTGTAGAGAGGGTGAACGTTCTAATTATTAAACTATTTACATGCACATTGGACAGAGGTTCAAATGTCCTTGTGTCTAAGAAACCGTCCAAAACTTGGCATTGATATCTTGTTGATTTGTACCCAAGTATTTTATACACAGATATCAGAATCACTTCATATTTCATAAAATAGAGTGAAGATGGTCTTGAAGTATTTGGCAACATCTTTATGTATAAAAGCTTATATCCTATCGGATTTCACGTGTATCAATATGATTAACCAAAGCCGATCATTACAAACTGATATTATCTAATGATGATTACTAATATGAGGGTAGGTTTAAGGTTTGAAGTACCAAAAATTTATTTAGTGGGAAAAATGAAGAGAAACAATGGCAGTATGATTGATTTACTTATTTCATGTTGTGGAAAACATGGTGGGTGCAATGCAGAAAATAAGATTAAAGTAATAAAGAAATGTGAAGGCAACGAAATAGGTCATCTCCTGCATTTTCTTCTATGGATTTATTTTTTCTTTGAGAAATCGATATTCTTGTCGCGCTATATCAACTTTATACTCAATACCAGCTTTGATATATCTTATATTATTGTTGTATTATTATCGATTTTAAATTCAATAGTAGCTTGACTGCTGAAACCATATGCAGATTCGGGCAGGTGCCTGCTTGTATTGCTGTAGGTCTAATTGGCTTAGCAGTGGATGTCCCACTTTTCACTGTCATAGCAATCATAAAGAGCCCTTACATGCTTTTCAAGGGCTGGCAGAGATTGCTACATGATCTCATAAGCCGAGAAGGCATTTTTCTTGAAACAGCTTGTGTGCCAATTGCTGGTCTAGCAATCCTTTTTTGGCCTCTTGTTGTTGTAGGGAGCATTCTATTGGTCATTATCTCGAGCATATTTGTTGGACTGTATGGATCAGTCATTGTGTATCAGGTGAACCCAATCATAACTGTATTTTATACTGGGTAATTATCACAGAACCTCCCCTGAAAGTTGGTGGTTTCTCACAAAACATCCCTGAACTTTATAAATCATAGAAACCCCATGCTTTCTTCATTATACTAAATGTCCCTAAACTATTGAAAATTCTCATAATCAGCGCTAACAGGTAGAGTAGAAAGTCTAACATGCCATAATTGCTTTTTTACTTACCCTAACGTGAAAAGGGTATATGGGAGTTATATTTAGTAGATATGGCAAAATTGTCCATAGAACATGACAACTGAAAGCATGTGGCATCGGTCATAGCACTTGAGTGTGAGAAGTTTGTGAGGGTTCTAGGATTTTTAGAAGTTCAGGAGGGTTTTGTGCAAAACCTTTTAAAGTTTGGGGTCTGTTTAAATTTTACCATTTTATCTTCAGAGTTCAGATCCAATGTAAATGTGGTGCATCCTTTTAAGATTTTGTTTAAGATCTGCATGGGAATGTAACTTCTACCATTTGGTGCAGGAACGATCTTTCCAGAGGGGAATTGCTTATGTTGTTGCCATTATTTCAGAATTTGATGAATACACAAATGATTGGCTTTATCTGAGAGAAGGGTCTATTCTTCCAAAGTACAAACTCATTTATTTTCTTCTGTTAAAACTAAGTACATGATATCTTTATGTGTTTAGGAGCAATATATTCTTGAATAGAAGTTTGTAACAGTGTCTTTTCTACTACTGTTCATCCAGGCCCAAATATAGAAAGAGAAAAGTATCCAACTCAGATGAATTTTCTGTTGGAAGTAGTATCATTAAAGGAGGAAAAACCAGTCCAAGTTCTTTAGCACCTGCATTGTTGGTGCCCAAATTGGGTCCCTCAAGATCTGTTAGAGAGGCAATCCAAGAAGTCAAAATGGTAAAGGTAAATTTTTTTAATTTTTAGTAGCAACTTATTTGTATCATACAAACTCTCTGCATTTGATGATTGGACTGGAATATATATATATCTTTTGGTTGTCAAAATTACCAAGCCTTCATTTTTCCCCCCCATTAGGGACTTGATCATTAGTTTTAACATATGTTGTTATTAACTCGTATAGTACATCGGTTGAAGATATAAAACAAAGGGTAATTTGTCATGTCTTAATCTGCAAACATCAATTTAGAAAAGACTAAGAATTTGTTTTCGATTTGGTATCGCTTTCAGGTGTCTCATAAGTTTTGATTTTGGTATTTACAAAAGTTAATATCTCTATATTTCTGTGTGTTGTTTTACACGCCTGTTCAACCTGTCCATGGCAACTGACACCACCTCAGAGCATTATTGACATAGTCTACAGTTTTTTTCTTGTAGTCTAAGACTGTATGCTGATCTTACACTGTCCTGTTAGTGGCGCTCATGTTATTTGGACCTTACAATACAAATTATATCTGTCAGCTCTCATAAAGAACTTTGGAGCTTTGTCGTTGTGACAGGAACTTGAAAATAGTTCGAGAGACGGTTTAAAAAAAAGAAGAAAAGAAAGAGAAAAACCCCAGACACATATTTGAAGCTGATTCAATGACATTTTGTTGTGCAAAATCCTGGTTTTTGCCCACAAAAGGAGTCTTATGGATGGTTAATAAGTATATATAAACTTATATCCCTCAATTTTGTAAAAAAACTCTAGCCTAGTAAAATGTTTTATAATAGTTTGGTCCAACTCTCTCCCCCTCTCATATATCCCTTGCAATTTGAAGCTTGTTATGAGTGTTGGTTTCCCTTCTGATGTACAAATTGATAAACTTCATCGTCACAGATATGGGAGGAGCTAATGAATTCCTGCGAATCAAAGGGAAAGGAACTTGTGGATGCAAATGTTATATCATCACTTAATCTAAGGGAATGGCTAAGAACAAAGGGAAACGGCCAAGAAACAGTTGGCCTTGGTCTCCCATCCTATGCCTTGTTGCATATTCTACTTTATGCTATCAAAGCTGGGTCAGGTGGACTATTGCTTTGCTCGGGTATTGAAGTCAACCATCTGAACCGGCCTCAAGATCGGTTGTTAGATTGGTTTTTTCATCCCATTATGGTTTTGAAGGAGCAGATGAAGGTCATACAAATGCGCGAGGAGGAGGTGAGGTTCTTGGAGAAGTTAGTAGTTTTCAATACTGATATGCAGGGCATGGAATTGTGGGATAATGGATCCGTTGCTCCTGAAGAGGCTCTCAGGGCTGCTCAGATACAGGCTATTAGCAGAAGGTGTGAGTTTTCTGCTTTTTCTTAACTTAGGCATTCTTTAATACTAATTGGGTTTATTTCTATACTAACTCAATTTCGCAACAATCAAAGAACTTTGCAGTTAATAGGAAACGTATATTCTCTTTTTTGAGGTGATTTTGGTAGGTTTGTTAGCCTTGGCTGTAACCTGCAAGGCGTGCATTATCAGCTGGATGGTCTTATGAGTTGTATGTTTTTTCATTGTCATTGAGACGTTAGATATGAGTTGAAGATCGTCCTTGGAGTGCTAGACTAACATGTAACATTCCTTTTACACCTGATTCATTTATTCCCATCAAAATTTCTTCTTGTGAGAGAATAAAGAGTGCTTCTATGACAGGAACGTTTACAGAGAAATCATGATAGAACCCTTGCCCAGTCAAATTACAATGGAAATTACAAAGAATCAATGGCAAAACGCAACAATTATTAGCCCAACTTTCTATTTAGGGCATGTTTCATTGCGTTCCCAAAAATGTAGGAAACCGTTTTCAGACCAAAAAAAACCAATTTTCAGCGTTATCATGCGTTTCTTGGAGAAGCCTTTATTTTTGTTGGTTTTACACAGAAATCAACAAATGGAATTCTTTCATAGTTCCCATTATTTGGATGATGTAAAAATATATATAGTGTTAAAGTAAGAGAGAGAGAATCTTGGGTAAATTTCCCTTGAGTTGAATATTGAGTGTGCACATATATTTATACAAGTAGAGGAATGTGAGGTTTGTTCTCCCAAGCAATGTGGGACTAAAACCCACTACAATACACTATTATCAACAGCCCCCTTCAAACTCATGTTGGATCAAACAAAGTGAGTTTGCGTACAAGAAACTGGAACCGATGAACAGGTAAGGCCTTTGTGAAGAAATCTGCAAGCTCGTCAGCGGATGAAACATGAGGAAGTAGAATTGTCTTGTCCTTGATAACTTGGTGACGGACAAAATGAGCGTCGATTTCAATATGTTTGGTCCTTTCATGATATACTGGATTATTAGCAATCTGGATGGCACTCTTATTATCACAGTAGAGAGTAGTAGGAGCCGTAACAGAAATGCCGAAATCACTGAGAAGGCAACGAAGATGAATGATCTCTTTAGCTGTTGTGGACATTGCACGATACTCTGCCTCAGTACTGGAAAGAGCAATAACATCTTGTTTCTTACTTCGCCAGGAAATAAGGGAATCACCAAGAAATATACAATAAACTATGGTAGACTTTCTGGTAGTTGTATCACCAGCCCAATCAGCATCAGAATATTAACTTAAATGTAGCAGGAAACAAAAGAGAGCGAGTGCTAGTACTCCGGAGGTACCAAAGAATCTGTAATAAGACAGCATAGTGTACAGAACGTGGGGCACTAACAAATTGATTGATAATACCAACAGCATGAGAGATTTCTGGTCGAGAGATACACAAATAGACCAATTGACCAACAAGATGTCGATATCGGGTAGGATCAGATAGAGGTTCACCGTCAGTAGAGCAAAATTTGACATTCTGCTAGAGTGGAGTATCGACAGTTGCATTGTCAGTTAGCTTAGCTTGATTTAGAATATCTGAGAGATACTTCTGTTGAGACAGTAATACACCCCGCGGACCTTGAGAATTTTTAGACCAAGAAAATACCGAAGAGATCCAAGATCCTTCATGTGAAATTGTTGTTGCAACTGAGATTTTGCGTATTGTATACATGCCATATCATCACCTGTAATGATCATATCATCTACATAGATGAGTAATAAAACTCTGCCACGCGATGTAGTGCGAACAAACAGAGAAGCATCTTGATGACTTTCTATAAAGCCCGCTTTGAGCACGACATCACGAAAACACTCAAACCAAGCACGGGGTGCCTGCTTGAGACCATAAACAGCACGGCGAAGGAGACATACATGTCCCGGAGGAATATTTAACCCTGGAGGCGGTTGCATATATACGGTCTCTGATAAAAAGCCATGAAGAAAAGTATTTTTGACATCCATCTCGTATAAGAGCCAACAATGAGCAGCAGCAACCGCAAGGAGAGTACGAACAGTGGGCATCTGAGCAACAGGAGCAAATGCCTCTTCATAATCAATACATTGTTGCTGAGTAAAACCTCGAGCCACTAAACGAGCTTTTTGACGTTCAATGGTGCCATCAGGACGAAACTTGACCTTATAAACCCATTTACTGTCAACAAGAGAGATCCCAGGAGGACATGGAACAACATTTCAGGTATGAGTTTGCTAAAAGGCTTGAAATTCCTCAGCCATAGCCTGTCGCCACTCTGGAATTTGAACTGCCTCTTGGAAGGACTTTAGCTTAACAATAGTATGAATGACAGCAAGAAAGTTATGAAAGATAGGTGAATAAGAAGTAACAGAAGCATACCGAGCAGGCATGACATGTGGGCGTTTGCCTCGACGAAGAGCAAGAGGAACCTCAGGCGAGGGAGATGCTGGCGCAGGTGCGTGAAGATCAACAGTATTTTCTGGAGTGAGAGTTGTGTCCACGGGATATAGATTAGATGGTGTAAGAGAAGACTCGGGTGAGGAAGAGTCAACAGAAGGAGAGGGTGAGATATCAGGGAGATCTCGAAAGGAAAATTAAGGTGAAGAAGTGGGTGATGCAGTTGACGGGGAAGCATGATCAGTAGAGTGGAGGAAATTAAAGTCATCGGAAGCAGAATAATATGGAGAATCCTCTTCGAACTGAACATGACAAGATATATGAACTCGACGAGTTGCGGGATCATAACAACGATAACCTCGATGTTCTGAACTAATTCCTAAATAAACACAAGAAACAGCTCTGGGAGATAATTTATCACGTTCGTGAGATGGCAGAAGAACAAAACATCGACAATCAAAAACACGAACTAGATCATAACGGGGAGGATGAGTATAAACACGACTATAAGGAGTAGCACCGGAAAGAGAGCTAGATGGAGTGATATTAATGGCATGAGTCGCGGTGAGAATAGCCTCAGCCCAGAAACGACGAGGAACAGAGTAAGAAATGAGCATTGATCGAGCAGTATCGAGGATATGACGATGTTTGCGTTCAGCAACACCATTTTGCTCATGAGTGTAGGGACATGACTGTTGAAAGATAGTCCCATGAGAGGACATGATAGAGCGCATGGTAGAGGATAGGTACTCTTTGGTACAATCAGAACGAAAAACTTTAATACGAGATTGTCATAGAGTGAAAATCATAGCAGTGAAGGTTTGATAAGCAGTAAGTACGTCAGAACGATTCTTAAGTAGGTAAACCCATGTAAAACGAGAGAAATCGTCAATAAAGCTAACATAATATAAGTAGCCAGATGAAGAAGTCAAAGGAGCTGGCCCCCAAATATCAGAATGTATTAAATCAAATAAGGAAGTGGATACGGATGTACTCATTTTAAATGGTAAAGCAGTGAATTTAGCCAATTTGTAACCAGTACATGACTCAATACTAGAACTAGATGATATAGGACCAAGTACTTCAGACTGAATAAGACTCTCCAGCCTTTTATTAGACACATGACTAAGTCGTCTATGCCATAAATTGGCAAGAAGCGAGGTAGAGGGTTTTGACGAACGAAGAGAAGCAACAATAGAACGTGGACGTATGGACTCTGGAAGGTGAAGATATTCCAGAAAATACAGTTTGTGCCTCCTACGACCCGCCCTAACTGTCTTGACCGCCTGTGGATCTTGCACAATACAAGTATCAGAAGAAAATGAGACAAACAGGCCCGTCATGCATAAAGAGCTAATAGAAATTAAATTCAAGCACAACTGAGGAGTCACATAGACGGGACCAAGTGTTAGATGACCAGATGGATCATTTTGTGGGGTAATAGAGCCATACTGAGTAATGGACAATGGTTGTCCAGCAGCTGTATAGATAGGAGGAAGAGAGAATAAAGTAAAGACAGAGGATAAAAGTGAGGCATTACAAGTCATATGAAAGGAACAACCAGAGTCAAAAATCCAGAGATCATTCATACCAGAGACCGAAGGATTAGCTGAAGAACCAGCAAAATGCATACCAGAGAGTTGTGCGGCGGATGTAGAGGTGATATGTTGAAAAGCATCAAGTTGACGGCGAAGACTTTCAATAGCTTGAATAGTAGAGTCTGAAGTAGTAGAAGGTATAGCATTGACCAGCAATCCTGGTGTACGAGAGGGTTAAGACTGAGGGGGTCGCCGACCACGACCAGTACATGAGGAACGTAACTCAGGATGAAGCTTGAGCATGTCTCAATGCGGTGTCCTTCCTTCTTACAATATTTGCAAGAGAGTTTAGATCGAGCCTGTGGAGAGGGAGCCTGTGGAGAAGTATGATTCATAACAGAAGCAGTGACAGGTACAAAACAGTTTCGAGTGAAGAGGTAGGAGTGTCTATTGACAAATTGAGTCGTGCTGTCTGTTGTCGGGTCTCATAAGCAGTGAGAGCTCCCATAACTGAGGCCAAAGTCGAAAATTGAGGCTAATGACGTAGTTGATCAGCCATAGTTGAATATTCAGGAAGGGACTGAAACAGTTGATGCACCTTATGCCGTTCGTACCAGGCTAGCCAGTCTTTATATGTGGAATTACGTCCAGGAAGCATGGAGCGTAACTCTGTCCAATAAGCTTGCATTTGTCCAAAATGAGACTGCAGAGATGAACTACCTTTGCGTTGTAGAGCAATGCGTTGCAGAAGATATGCCTCCCGTGCACCCGAGCACTCAGTGAAACGCTCAGCGAGACGAGTCCACATGATCCGAGTAGAGGGAAGCGAGCCAATCTCGATAGTGAGACCAAAGCTAACACACCGAGTGAGATAATCCATGACACGAAATTCCTGCAATTGCCACTCTAAAGTCTTCTTAACATAGAGAGCACGAGCAGTCTGAAGATCGACATCACCACTGCCAGAGACAATAGTATTAGATGAAGCAACAGTGCTGATGGACGGTAGAACTGGTCCCGTACTGGTGAGATGATCAAGCAAACCAGCGCCACGCAAGGCATTGGTGACAATGGTGGACCACCCTGCCCAGTCACTTTGATCATTGAGGGGCAAATGTGGTTTGGGAATCTTCTCTGAAGGAGCCATAACAGCAATGTTGAGACGTTAAGACGTCGAGATGCCGTTACTGACTGCGAAACGGCAATGCTGTTCGTTTGAGGCCGAGAGACGGCTTGAAATGACGATGCCATTAATTTGAGACCGAGAGACGGTCTTAAAACGGTAATGCTGTTAAAATAGAACCCGAATGTTAGAATGAAACCCAAAGGTTTAAAATAGAACCCGAATGTTAGAATGAAACCCGAAGGTTAAACGAGAACGCGAAACGCGTTAAGAGGTCGCAAAGCTGCAAGGCCAAAATATCTGGCAGATGAACGCCAAAAAAAAACATTAAACGGCTGCAAAGCAACAAGACCAAGATTTGGCAAAAGAACGCAGAAGCGTTAAAAATTTTATTGGAAGGGAAATGGCTCTAGCTCTGATACCATGTTAAAGTAAGAGAGAGAGAATCTTGGGTAAATTTCTCTTGAGTTGAATATTGAGTGTGCACATATATTTATACAAGTAGAGGAGTGTGAGGTTTGTTCTCCCAAGCAATGTGGGACTAAAACCCACTACAATACACTATTATCAACATATAGGAAACCACACTCGTAAACGAGGAGAGAGAACATGAAACACATGCTTTACCAAAAAATCTCACACTGGAAAAACCCCACCAACCACATTATTTAAGTGCTTAAATGATGTTTTCCACCCCATTTTGATAAAAACGCTCGAAAATGGGTTTTCATACTTTCTGGAGGTTACATCAGCCTTTAAGAAAAGCTTTGAAATTTTTTTCTTAAAGACAACTTACTTTTGGGAAAGATATTTTGGTTTTCCTGGGTTGATGTGGACCGTGTTTTCCACATGGTTTTCGCCGTTCCTAGGCAGCCAAACACTTTTAAGGTCATCACTATTTTCTAATTCTTTTAATGTTTGGGGTCATTCCATTATATCAAAACTCTAAAGTTATGATGAGGGTTGAGAGATATACTTATATAGTCTAACATACCCCCGTAGGTTGAGAGCTTTTTTGTTGGCTGAAAACATGGAGCGACACAACGATAACTTTTTTAAATCTGCTTTAAATCTGTCGCCCACAAAATTTAAACTTAGGTTGCTCTGATAGCATGTCGAAGAACCCTTCCACTACACAAAAACTATGAAGTTATGATGAGGTGTTGAGGATTATAGTTTAAGGGCAAATTACACAAAATTCCCGTAACATTTGTAGAAGTGTAAGAAAATTCCCCCAAGTTTCGAAACCATCACTTTTCAACCGCTATGTTTAAATTTTCTATTCAATATTGCCCCTAGGTTGTTCTCTTAATAAAAAAAACCAGCAAGGCTTTGATTTTCCTCTATTGGTTCTTCTTGAGTGGTATTATTGGAGTCTGCCTCATCACTAGGGAGCTCAGCAACAGAAATGGAGTATTATAGCCTTCGGGTTGGACAGAACAAGACTCTAGTTTATGTAGCGATAGCAAAAGGGCATTTTGTTCCCATTAAGCTCATGCTTACAGTTCCATTCTATCTTCTACTCCTCAAAAGACTTCTTAAATCCTATTAAAAATAATAATTTTAGTAACCTTAATTTGTCCATCTAGCACCACCCTTTATTTGTCCATCTAAATTTGAAGGTGAAGACAAGCTTTTTTTTTTAACTTCTTATGATTTTTCATTTTAAGATGGACTTCCTTGGTGATGGGGAAGTGAAAAAGAATTTCCCCCAAAGAAGAAGAAGAAGAAATATAGAGGTATTCTTGGGATTATAGGTGTCACGTAGTACTCATGTGACCCTCTTAACTAATAATGGTAAGAATGACTAAATAAAGGGAGTGTAAGTGTTAGTTTTCAAACATTAGGAGGATTCTCTATCACTTATATTAACCTTAGGGGGATTTCCTATATTTTAGCCATAGTTTTATACTCTAACTTGGCTCCGTAGGTTGAGGTCCTTTTTCAATGTCCCACATTTGATCATATGTGACATTAATTTTTTTTAATTTGCTTTAAATGGATGGTCATTGGGATTTGAGCCTGAGGTGCCTAATAGTATGTTAAAGGACTCTTTCATTATATCAAAACTCTAAAATTGTGGTAAGGGATAAGAGATATAGTTTTATTGTCTAACAGATCAAATCCGAAAAAACAGATCCAAAATGAATATTGTCAATTGTTGATCCGAGCTTTTCTATGAAAAGGAACTTGTAGAATGAGTTCGCAATCTGTCTGTTTAGGCTAGTTATAACCATCTCTCCCAGTTTATATTATGGATGTGTTCATCGTTCATGTATTATTTTACTAGTATTGAATGATCACATGAAATCCATGCTATTATTTGTAAGATTCAAACTAGCTTCTTATCCAGGATTTACTTTTGAGTGAATGCTACAAATGCATACTAAGTGGTCTGGAGCTTCAAACTTCCCTTGGATGAGTTGTATTATAAATTCAGGTTTCTTAAGTGGCATCTAACTGTATATAAAACCAACCAAACTAAGGTTCCTCTAGTGTCATTCAAGCACCTATTATCTCAGGTTTTCCCCCTCTTTCTTAGTCCTATTTTCCTTTAAGGCCCTTATGACTTTTCTCGCGATATCAATGAAAGTGATATTCTTAGTTCTTTGAAATCCTAGAACCTATCAAGTATGGAGACTTCTATGTAATAGAAACAATTCAAGCATGTATCAGACATGTCTAGTGTATAGTTGCTGTTGTTTGTACACTATTGTATAATACGGAATGGTTTGTGTGCCGATGGCGATATAACCTTCTCCGCTTCTCATCCTTGAAAAAGAATGACCAGATGATTTAAATTTTCCCTCTTTCTTTCAATCATATTCCCTTGGTTTAGGGGTTGTATAACTGAAAATGACAATTGAGACTAGATGTTTTGCAAGTTCTCCACGTACCTTCAACTTACAGAATGTTTTTCTTCATGTTTAACTGATCAAGAAGTTGATGATAATGATGGTAGGTTGGTGGGGATTACGAGGAGCATAACAAAGTTCCCAACTTACAGGAGACGATACAGACAGGTAGTGAAATTACTGATTGCATATTGTCATGAAAGAGACGGTGCTGCTGGAACAGGTTCAACTAGATCAGTCTCTTCAATCGAAATTGTGCAGACGCAAGTTTAGTTATGAGGTTCTGTTGGCCTAGTCAACTATGTTAATAGTGTTTGTAAGAGTTATTTCTTGTTTTTGCTTTTTTATTAATGACAAGAAAAAAAGTGGGGAGAGCATGCCTCTGTAATTTATGAGAATGTTAGCTGTTGCTATGGAAACACAGTTTGAAAATGTATGATAATTTTCTTTTCTTCATATATAGCAATCTATTATATTTAAAATTATTCTTATGTAATGCCTAAATCGATTGATATTTGTTGATATATTTTCGGAGCTTGAACTGCAGAAACAATCCCCGTTGTTTTGAAATATATTCCCCCCATGCTTTGCATGTTCAAGCTGTCTCTTTTTTTAATCTAGGTTTTGTGTGAATCTAGTTTTTTTTTTAATAGATGAGTTATGAACATATCAGCATGTTATTGGTTATGGAAGATTTAATACAAATTGGAGGGCTGAGATCCCCCATCCCTACGCGGGATGTTCTGAGGAGCCTTTTACTGCACACCTTATTGTCATCCTTAACCATAATTTCTTTTGCTTGACCTACTTACGTAAGTTCGACTACAACACTCTGCTTGACAACTTATCACATGACTAAACTACAAAAGGTTTGGTCAAGTATAGAGCATAGCATCGTGCATGACAAACTTATAACTCATCATCCCGCAAGCGGCCCAGTGGTTGGGATTTGGGGTGTTGACGGTTGACCTAAAAGACTAAGAGTTGATCCATGTCTTCAGCTTGCATATCCCCATGTTTTAGTTATTAAGTATTGTGACACTTGTGTTATTCATCAGATTTGGAATGAGACGGGGCCCCAGAACCTAGCATCTTTAGTTGACTGGAACTACCATGACTAACATATAACTTACAATGAGTTGGGTCAAGTACTATCATGGGGACCTAACTTTCTCCTTGACCAACTTGTGGGTCAAATTTTTTAGTTGCATTGAGCAAGTCAAGCACATTTGCAATAATTGAGTTCGAGTAGAATATTATCCTTTAATATTCATTTTTCTTGCAGTATGGGGGGATTAAACAAAATACATGCAGCAAAACCATTATATTTTGAGGAAACAATGGATCACTATATTTTCTCTTTTTTAAATATGAATATGAGGATATACTGTAACATCATCACCATGTGCTGAATGTTGGGTTTTCTTTAATTCAAAGTTAGATCTTGGGTTTTCTTTAGTATGCCGATCTGAGTTAATTCAAAGTTCTGCAGCCATGAAGTTTGACGGCAAACAAAAGAAAACCCACGATGGGAAATAATTTTTTTTAATTAATACGAAAAAACTTTAATTCTAGATCAATAATTCATGCACAATCTAGCTCTGATACAACTGTCGGATAATTTTTAACGATCTAGACATGAATAGTTGAACTATAAATATAGATCAAACTTACCGTTCACCGTCGAAAAACAATGGAAGTCTTCTCCTCTCTCCTCCCGTAGCCAACGATGGGAATTTTGTCTCTTTTCTGCATACGGTTGAGAGGAGGGACTTCCACCATTAAATAGATATTTGTGATTAACCCTACCCATCATGGTTTAATCACAACCGTGAGATTACACTCTGATCGATCCTATCCTTTAGATATTCAAGATAACCACCTAACTTGATAAATATGAAACTGTCTAGCCAGACCATGTGGTTAACATCCTGATCCTAAATTGAATCAATGGCAACTTTAAATCAAATCCAAAATCGAGTAGATTGGGCCACATGGGTTCGTTGGATTAATCGAACCTAACAATTGCTGAAAAAGTTCTTTGAGTTGTTTAATTTCTATTTCGTCAAAACGTAGAAATTTTCTTTAGCCATGGCCAGATGCAAAGCTATTTTGCCATGTTTGTTGGATTTCAGCCATGGCTAGATGCAAATTAGAACTCAAATATGATTTTTTTCATGCCTCCAAAGGCCACGGCTGGAGTTTTGTTCATGCCTTCAACTTTGAATTCAAATCTCATCATGGCCATGGCGGCAGAATTTTTCCAGCAGCGGAAGAACTTTTTCGGCGACCGACGACGAGGATGCGGACGACGACGGAGGGCTGGGTCTGTAGGGGTTTGGGTGATGGCGGCGGCAGTATAGCTGCCCCTTGGGTTAGGTGGGTTTAGGGTTAGGATTTTAGTTAATTAGTTAATTAATTTAATTAGTAAATAATTAGATTATTTAGTATAATTAACTACCATTTATTATTTGAGTTATATAACTCTATAACCCATTATAATAATTAGATTATTTAGTATAATTAACTACCATTTATTATTTGAGTTATATAACTCTATAACCCATTATGCCAGACCCGATCCAGTATGCAATAGACCCGACCCACTACAGTAATGGATTAGATCCATTAAAATTCTGATCCAACCCATTATGAAATGGGTCAGACCCATTAATTTCCAGACCCGACCCATTATAGTTTTGACCATTCATTTTGTTTTGGTCACTATAGATCTATTTAAAGTCTGATTTGAGCCCATAAATAGTCGTTGGAAAGATCATTCTATGTACTTTTCAACTATATAGTTTTATTTTCATTTCATAAAGTTTTAATATAGGAATTTGGACAATTCATAAAAAATTATAGTATGCACATAAAGATAATTGGTTTACTCTGATTATATCCTTAATTCAGGTTGGGTAAATATTTGGGTTCATGATAAAACAAATTATAGTATTAGATCAACTTATAGGGTTAAGGAAGATCGGTAAAACAGTCACTTAGAAATTATGGTAGAGTAGGTTAGTGTATTGCCTAAATGTGACCAACCAATAATACCCTAATTTTCTAATGTTGAGTTTAGTCTCATTTGGACTGGAAGATTGCACTTACCTGTGGGTGGACTACTAGTCTTGCCCAAAGGTATCTAGGAAATCCTCTACAAGATAAGTGATGCAGGATAGTTGAAACAGGTCAGTGAGAGGAGAATAACCCCATTGCCCAAATGTTAGGAAGTGTTCAAATTAAACTGACGTTGTGTAGGCTAGTCATGTAGGTGATTATATATCACATTTGGGGGGATGGTGAATAGCATGTCAAATCACTTGCCCAAAGGTGTGATGAGATGATGCATCTACCTGTCCCGCAGAGTGGAAGGTTGCATACGTAAAACACTCTGACCCATCCATTCTAACCCTAAATTGGATGTGGAAATATTAAAGTTAATAAAATTAAAGGTCTCATTTGATTTATACATCCATGTTTAATGCAGATGGACAGACAGTTTATCCAGAAACATCTGACTAGGATTGAGCCCCTCGCCGGTTCCAATTATAGCAACTGGAAGATGTAAGTTGGAATAGTACTTGGGTGTCTTGGCTATGACTATGTTCTCACTGAAGAGAAGCCAGAAGAGCCTGATGAGTCATCAAGTCTATCTGAAAAGAAATATCATACTAAGTGGGTCAAAGCCAACAAGCTTGCAATGCTGATCATTAGAGCATCGGTGGACCAGACTATTCGTGGGGGGATTACGGCTTGCGAAACTATTAAGGAGTTGCTTGATACCATTAAGAAATAGTTTTAGGGATCTGTTAGAGTAAGACAGTACAGTTATCTGGTCAAACTCATTAATCTAAAATATAATGGAAGTGGTGATGTTCGTCAGCATATTTTGAAGGTCTCTCAGTTGATCATTCGTCTCAGGGAGTTGGGACTTCAGTTAGAGGATGATCTGATGGTTCATTTTGCAGTCACTTCTCTACCAAACAAATTTGACACTTTTAAGGTGAACTACAGTTCTCAAGACAGGAAATGGGACTTGAATGAGCTTATTGTTGTATGTGTTGCTGAGAAAGAACGGGTGAAAATAGGAAAAGCTGAGATGGCAAATCTGGCACATGGCAAGCTTGGACCAAATAAGGCAGGAAATAAATCCTTCAAGAATCAAGGGCACAATAAGGGGAAGAAATCTTTTGGCAATTTTTCCACTGTTTCTAGCACTTCCTCAGCAAGTGAAAAGGTTGAATATTTCTTCTGCAAGAAACCTGGCCATATGAAGAGAGACTGGCTGAAGTATAAGAAGTGGTTGAAGAAGAAGGGAGGTATGGTTTTAGTTCATGTTTGTTGTGAAATAAATTTAGTTGATGTTCCTTCAAGTTCTTGGTGGATTGATCCTAGTACCTCTGTGCATGTTTCAACTTCATTATAGGGAATAATCCATAGTCTGAAGGCAAGGGC